CAGGAACCCTGCACTATCTAAACATGAAACTTAATGAAAAACCACAGAGGAAATGACTGAACAACATTTATATTTAAAGCCAAATTTAATGTCATTAAGTTACTGCTATGGAAAACCTTTTGATACATAATATTGCGGTAATTAAGTATAAAACAGCTCAGGACTATTTAAGAAAAAAACAGGTATCATCGAGTACAGGTACTGACTCCCTGATATCGGTACCATATCAGTTGAAAGGTGAAAGCAACCCAACACTATAAACAATAATAGCAGATATTTTTCTCAACACTACAAGACATAGAAGAGAGCGTATTTACAGCAGCTCTTTGATTGAAATTGGAGTTTTTAATGCAACAGATTTAAGATTATAGCTATTTAAGCAACAACGAACATTTCTTTAACATTTTAATGATTTTTTTTTACCAAAATCAAACCTGAGCATCACAGCGCATCATGTTGGTTGATTTTTTTAAACACAAAAAAGGCAAAAATAGTAGCTGTGATTCATTAAAGGAGGTTTTTTCTAATAAAAGTTGTTTTAAAATTAATGTGGTTTGGATTTCTGGCAGATTAATGGATCCATCGCTGCTTCGAGACACACTTTCATGTCGTGCTTCTGGGAAATAAAAGCTTAAATAAGCTTGGATTAAATGTCAGGCCTCTGGTGCTACTGGGTTAAAAAATGACCTGAAGGGATATTAGACAATGAATTAAGCTAAAGAATCAGGCTAAATTCTTGGAAGAAATAAAAGATGGGTTATAGAGGGAGACGAACGCTTTCATCACATCCCAGCTGGGTGATATTAACGGTTGATCCATTCTGCTGTTTCCTAGAGCAGTTCTTTTAAATCTACTTTAAGTTTCCTAATGGGAACCAGGACAAGATTTATTTCTATTGTGTCGAATTTCCAAGTATCTGTTAAACATATAAAACAGTTAGATAAAAAAAAAACAGAAGTGGATTTGAAATGCTTTCAAAGCTCCATCTGATAATAAAGGCAGTTGAAGCCTCTTAAAGCCCTGAAGATTTCCATCCAATTTGTTCGAGTTGTGAGCCGAGGCATCGAGATGCCCCCTTTCCACTATGGCAGGGGTCGGCAAACCGCGGCTCTTTAATGCACCATGAAAATGGAAAAAGATGGGATTTTTTTTTTTTTATATGATGTGCAGAAGTTCAAACACAAATTCATTATGTTTTCCAATGCTGTAAAAATTTGTATAATAAATAAATTTAAACAATTAATGCAAAAAATTTCCGTCAACAAAGATTTGCGTCATGCCTGCAGCACACGTTTAGCGAAGCGAGGTGCCAGGCAGGTGGCTGTTGGCATTTCCTGGAAAGGCAAGCTAAATATACCGCTGACCACCAAGCTGGGAGTGAGAGGACAAGTGTGATTGCAGGACTTCTGGATAATTTAAAAGAGAGTAAGAATGAAAAACAGGTCCAACAGGTAGCGCTCTGATGCAGGTATGTGAACTTTCTTCCATTCGCCCTCCATTTAAATAATGCAACAAAACCTGATACATTAATACTGCAATGGAATTTAAACTCAAAGCACCAAATATCGTTCATCAGAGTAGCCACATGATGTGACATTTGCTCCAGGATAAACATTTAAATATATATATAATACATAAAATAATACATGAATGCTTATTATATATTTAAGCACATGTAGTACTTTTTTATAGAGGGCTAATAAACTCAGAGACCGTGTTGTCTTTCGAGGCTTATATTAGACTTTTACATTTTTGCGGCTCCAGACAGATTTGTTTGGTACAATATGGTTCTTTGAACAGTTCGGGTTGCCGGTTTTATCAGGTGGATGATAAATCTTACTTAAATACATAATTGAATTATGTGATGCCTAAAAAGAAATGTTGAATATGGTCTGAGTATGATATTAATCTCTCTTTATGATACAAAAGCTTGATCCAAGATAAAATACAAGCTAATGGAGGAGGGTTGAGTTTTGAATGTGCAGGGAAGGAAGTTTATTGATTTTTTTTTGTTGAAAACAACTTCTCTAATGTGCCTATGTTCAGGTGGCTCTGCTTTTTGGAGCCAATCAATTCGAAACAAAGAAAATATGATGCCAGAATCAGAAATCTAAGTAATCTGAAAGAAGGGAACCAATTTCTGAATCAGTAACATAATCAAGCCAACTATCTGGGCCTTGGACATCAATAACACAAGCCCACATTCTGCTGCAATGCAGACAAACACGTTTTTTTTTTTAAACCCTGGAGGTGGTCAGGCATATCTGAAAGAAAACTATAATAATTAATTACGTAACTGTTGGCAAAATGTCATCACAGAAAAAAAAACTATACTAATGTGCAGCTGTCCTGCTATCGACAGCTTTATGCATGTGTCATATATACATCAACTATGGAAGCTCCCTGTGAGACAAAGCTGAGGGAAGTAGGCAGAGACTCAAAGGAGCTTCACTTCTGTAGTGAGACAGTAACGGTAGAATGATAGCTGCTTTCACCGATTAGCGCTAAACTCGCCACTAGATTAGTCTCCAGTTTCATTTTAGAAAGGAAAAGCTGCTAGCAGGGTCTGAAAAGTCCCTAAATTCTAGCCTAGTAAATTAGCCCGACGCGCCAGTGGCCAAAATCATTTTTCCCTGCGAGTGGTCTAGTCTCGATCAATCCCTCAAGCCCTAGAACTGGCGGGCCAATCACAACGCAGAGATGTAATTTGAATTTTTGGATAAAAAGCGGGCGGGGTTTTGAGAGCGGAACGAAAAAGCTATGCCACGCTGGAGAAAGCGCAACAAGGAAGATGGCAACAACTGTTGAACAGTTCTCGTTTGACTCAGCTTTGGAATCAGTGTTGGAAGGATTAGACTTTGAGTTTTCATTGAAACGTGAGCATTTCATTTTTGAGAAGGACGTATTCGCCGTTTTACCGACAGACTGTTTGTTTCCACTCCCCCACCAGCTTCCTGTCGCGCTCACTACGTCACAGTCAGTTGCACTGATTGGTCAGAGCGTTGGCCAAAAGGCACAGAGAGCAGTTTAAAAAAAAAACGTGTTGTTCTCATCAACAAGCTTCCGATGTGTCATTGATCGGGGCCAGACTAAATTACACATTTAATCTCACTTTTAGTCTGGTTTATCAGGCTACCTAAAAACAGCAACAAAGAAGTAAGTTAGCAACACTTGACTATCACCTCCAGATGTCTCTATTACTGAGAGCAGATCAGCGCACTAAAGCCGCCAGTTAGCTTAGCAGCAAAACAGACAGAAGCTGGCAGTATTCTTTTTTTTTCTAAATAAAGTGTGTTTTTAACATTTCATGTTATATGAGTTTGTTTTAAATGCATATAAATAAATTTAAAAATGTAAAGCATGTTTCATCATATGCTTTGCATTCAATTCAGTTTATTTATATAGCACCAATTCACAACACATGTCATCTCAAGGCACTTTACAATTCAACCCAATTGAATTTTAGCAGGAATATTGTTTTAACATATTGCTTTATTCTTTCTGAAGGCGTGGCTGTTTTTATTTTGTGCCCCGATCGATTACACGTAGAGGAAACTTTGCAACTATTTATTAAAAAAAACAACGGCAAAGGAAACTCACCCTAAATGTCTGTCTGGCGTCATGTTGTAGTCTCCCTAAAATAGGGGAGAGAAATGATGCAGTCATTGCACACACCCACTGTGACACAGTTCCAACTTGTTTCCACTCACCGTGTAGACAACAGACTCTGATCCCACTTTGATGTGCACCATAGCAGCTCCCAGGACGTGGCCTGCATAGTAAGCTTTGATCTCCAGCTCATCGTCCACCTGCCGGGAGCACAACAGAATCAGCTTGGTTTGCCATCAAAAAGGCCGAGCAGCTGGCGCAGAAAAAGGCGGGATTAGATAAAGTTGTGTGGCAGAATACATCCGAAAATAAACAGACTTTTAGCACAGGACCTGGACAGTTTGATGGAGGTTCAAAGGAATCACTTTCTTCATGCAGTCCTTGATCATTTGTGAAGTAAAGAAGTTGGTTTCTCCTTTCTTGTCCACAGTGATTTTCCGGAAATCTTCCAGTAAAATGGGACAAATTGCCTTGGTGGGATGGGTCATGTAGATGGGTCCGTCGTAGCCCACCATCTCGCTCATGTAAGGTAGGGCGCCGCAGTGGTCCAGGTGGAAGTGACTTAACGTCGGAACAGGAGGAGATAAACAAAAGGTTGAAAAAAAGATTAGTGCAACAAGGGTTTGAAGAATGAAGAACTATTAGAAAACATGACAAACCTGATGATCACGCAGTCCAAGAAGTCCGTCAGACGTCCGTTCTGTGTTATATAGGAAAAGTCTGGGAAACGCCTCTGCAATGAGAAAACGGACATATTGTCAATATAACAGTTTTACTTTGTGTCTGTGCAAACATTAAAAAAAATATTTACAGATAAGAGAACAATGATGAATTTTGAGTAATACCAATTTGTTTTAATAATTTACTGACAAGACATCTTCAATATTTAAACCTTATCTTACCGCAAAATATTGAGCACTCATTTCAAATAATTGTCCTCAAATATAAAAGCAGTTTCTACAGCCTTGATAGAGGGTGATTTTCAGACCTTTTTGGAGCCAAATAAGATCGGTGGAAAAGACTGGGTCGTATCCAAGTATCGGCTGATCTTCCAAATGTTGTGACCACTTTTTCCTATAATCTTTTTGCTGCTATAAACACAAGCATTTCCCTATTGTGGGACAATAAAGGGATTTTCTACTCAATTCTGTTCAAATTTAATGAAATCAAGGCTGACTGATCAGCTGAACAATTATTCAGTCACGGTAAAAAGCAGTACAATTAATTTCTATAATCTGGCTTTGGAAGCAGCTTGAAGCCTAGGTGGTTGCTCTAAGTCATTAGTTTTTGCAACCATCCCTTGTTAGCTCCGTAAAAGTTTAAAAACAGTCCACTGGACTTGGTTTCCAAGGATTGAAGACGTTTCGCTTCCCCTCCAGGAAGCTTTCTTAATTCAAATTCAGACATTTGATTTGAGAAAGCTTCCTGGAGGGGAAGTGAAACATCTTCAAACATTGGAAACCAAGTCCAGTGGATTGTTTTTAAACTTTTACGGAATACTATGACCTGGATAACTGAGAATCTTCATCAGCATCCCTTGTTAAATCAGTCATGAAGAAAGTTTAGATAAAAAGGAAGAAATCAATTAGATGGAAACTGAGCAGACTGCATCCAGTCATTGACTTGCAGCATCCATTCCAGCTGGATAAGCATCTAGAGACAGTAAGGTGGTGGACAGTCACTTGCAAAGTGTTATTAACTTTACGGAAAGGCTCATATTGACCATGCAAGTAGCAACAGTTGACTAATCTAAGGAATAACTATTCTTGCTAGCTGCTTAGTCTTCATATTAGAAAGGGTGTCTGCCTTGGGGGCTAAAACTGCAACTAAGCACATTTCACAGTGGAGAGTGGAAATGAAAAGATCTGCCTCCCTCCATGAATCTGCAGTCTGGAATCCAAGTTGTGCATCGTCTGACTTAAAGGATTTTTTATTTCCTTCAAGTCCTCTATTGAATGTTTTGGTTCACTTACATCGTCGTTGTATCCCATGTGCATCCCACAGTCCAGCATGATGTTTTTGCCTCCAATGGAGACGAGGATGCAGCTGCGACCAACATCCTGTCCAGCACCTTTGATAGAAAACACAACAACTGAGGAGCTGCAAACACAAATCTGAGCCTCTTCAGTCACCAAATAGGTGACAAAGCTTCAAAACATTTTTTTTCCATATAAAATACTGAACCTTTGGTGCTGGGAGAGGGTGAGACACACGCCTCTGATCCAAACTTTACCAACTAAAGTTCTGTCAACATGTAATGTTGACAGAACTAGCTTAGCTTCGGGCTAACAGGCTGCAGTACTCACCTAAGGGAGTTACTTTTATTTCAGGCATTATTTTGTCACCTGCCCGCTGCTGGACTCAGTAGGAAGGATAATTCAAATAATATCTTATAAGATTTTATTTACGGCAAATAATACTCTATAAAATCGGAATGAAACCGCTGCATGGTATTGTTTCACACATTCAGAAGCATTAAGCTAGGCGGCTAACATTACATTTCCGATGAACGCTTTCAAAATAAAAGCCGCGAGCAATAAAGCTAATCAAGAGTCTTAATTTTTATGATAAAAACTAAATGAAACTGAACGAAACACTTGGTTGAACCTTAAAATTTTGTACTTTTAACCTATTATGTCTGAAAGAAAATCATTAATCCATTTTACGCGAGTTTTATAAATTCAAATAGCTTTTATTTTGAAAGCATCACCGCGATTTCCGGAGTTGTTCCCGGTTGGAGTCTGCGCAGTAGGAGTGGATTAGAACAGGTATCACCTGCAATGAATTGTTTCCACTTCACTTTGAGTTTTTCTCTGTCGGGTTGATGTGTTCACTTTTTGATCCTGTAGCCCCACGTCCGAATCTTTCCCCAGCTTTTGGTTGCTTTTAAACAGATCTTCGTCATTCGCTTGGTTCGTTTTGTTGACAACACTTCCTGTTTGAGAAAATCCATTATGGCAGGTTCAGAGAGCCAGAAATTCACTCTACAGGAGGTCCTGGACAGTTTCAAACTGTGTCTGTCGCCACACAAAGACGTGTACCTCGAACACTACGTCTCTGGATGGAGAGGTCTTGTAAAGTAAGTGATAAATCGTTAAATTAGTTCTTGTTCCATAGCAATGGATTAGGGGTACATAAAAATAAGAGATATAAGAATATGTACAACGACGCTAAAAAGGGATTTTCTCTAGAATAATGGAAATAAATTACAATGTCAAAATCTGGATTAATTAAAGTGTTTCGGTTGGCTCCAAATCAAACATTCAGATCTTGAGGTTTGGAGGTAACCTGCTGTTCAGGTTGGGTCACTAACGTGGTCATGACCAGCTATGGCAGGCCATTTTGACATTTATTAGCTTGACTGAATATGTTTTCCAGATTTCTCAAATGCATTTCTTCCTAGCCAAAATGAACTTTTCAGATATCTGCAATGTAATTCACGTTTCCCATTCATGCATATTGCATTTTAACTTCAAGATATCTAAATAACATTCTTCTAATCTAAAATAAACATTCTTTCTATCTAAAATGAATTCTGACTAGGATGAATTCTAATTTCAGATCTCAATAATAGAGTTACTGCTTGTCATAATTACGATTCCGGATATCAAAAATGAATATAACATTACAGATATCCAGAAGTCCATTTATTGACATCTAAAACATATTTCTACTAGTAGAAATATAATAACAGATATCAACTATTGATATATGACTAGTTAAATTAGAATTCCAGATATCTCAATTTTAATAACACCTATCTAAAACTTAGTTTTAGATACTTTCAAAAGAAAGGCTGAATGTTAAAATAAAATATGCAGGCTGACTAGTCACAATTCTATTATAGATAGCACTAAAGCATTCTACCTAGTCACAATTACAATATTCCTATTCAGAATTGTATTTTAAATATCACTTATTACATTTTTACCTGTAGAAATTAGATTTTAAATGCTCTGGAATCAAATTAATACTAGTAAGAACTACATTTCAGATATCTACAAATCTTATTTTAGGTGGCCGTTTTTAACATATATTTGTTTCTATTTCAGATATCTTTAATAGTATTCCTCCTTTCTAAAATGAACATTTCAGATATCTGAAATGTAATTCTTACTAGGACAAATGACATCACTTTTCCCCATTCATGTGTATTGGGACGTAATTACATTACCCCTAACTAAAATAAACATTCTGGATGTCTAAAAATGAATTTCAGATCTCCATAATCTAATTGTTACTGGTCATAATTTTGATTTCAGCTATCTTCTGCCTCTTAGACACTTTGCACAATCTGTGGTTTGGCTGGAGGCCATTGCTTCACATAGGGATAATCATAAATGCTGGATCCCATTTTCTGTGGGGAAGGAAATCCAGCACTTCTCACACTTTTGAGATCCTTAAACTGAGATCCTAGTTTAAGGGTGTGGTTTGTTTTACTTATGTTTCTCTCATTATTTGCTTTTATTCTCCTTTTATTTTTCTATTTTCTTATCTAGTTCATGTAAATCTATTTGAATTGTCCATGCGCTGAATTATTGCCTAATTTGAACTTATTGCAACTATGAAGATTTTTTTCTTTGTTATTAAAAACTGAATCTTATGTATTAAAAGGGTTCATTACAATAACAGGGACATATTTCCTGTGTTGATTTTGCTTTGTTAATTTGGATGATTGTGGCTAAAAGATCAATAAAACATTAAAATAAAATATATATTAAAATAAAAACATACAGAAAACCAATAAATGGCTTTTTAATACAAAAATGTACTATAAATATACAGTCACTGACAGTCCCCAGTTTAAAGTGTGGGATCCAAGCATAATTATGGAAAGTTAAGTGGAAGGAAAAATGTGGTGTTATAAAGAACAAAGGCAATAATAATAATGACTCCGCCTTGAAAAAGGATGTTAAAGCAACAGTGATTCAAGTGTTTGTTGATTTATAAGCCGAGTGCTGCAGCAACACAGGTTAAGCGTTTCATTCTTTTAATGAAGCCACTCCTAAACAGGTGCATCAGAAGAGGCCTCAGTGATATTTCCAGAGACTCAGGACAGAGTGAGGAGACATTGACAAGTTGTTTGATCTCCAGATGTGTGGATTTGGCGAGCCACTGTGTCTGTACTCAGCACAGCCATTTTTCAGACTATAGATCTTCAATCTTTTATTATGAATGGGCTGATGTCATTTTCCAGCAGGATTCGGCCACCTGCACACACTGCCAAATGTAAAAACACCTGGTTTTAATGAGAATGGTTGTATCTGTTTAACTGGATTTGAAACTGGTTTGACTTGTAGCCCTCTGAGATTCTGTGGAGTGTCGCAAAGTGGAAGATAAGAGAAACTGGATCCAACACGACAGATGAGCTGAAGGCCTGACACTGAGATGCTGACTGCAATTACGTTACAGAGCATGGAAATACTTTCAGCTGACTCTCTGATCTCTGTTGTTTCATATATCGTTTCTTGATCTTATGAATTGTTGTGATCAGGGAAGCTAAATTTGAAGTTTTATTTAGCTGCAGTTGATCCTTGCAAATGATTTTCTAAAATAGATTCACTTTTTGATTTCCATTGCTAGGCAGTGTGTCTTTTATTGTTTGTTAACTGGCACCGTCAGCCATGACACCCTCTGTTATCACTAATTTAGCTGCTTATTGCTGAGGACTCCAAAATGGTCTTACTGGTACAGAAGTTCCTTAAAGGAATAGTACACCCAAAACATGATTAGCCTTCATTTTCTACTCACCCCCATGCTGAACAACACTCTGGAGTACTTTTTTGATATCTCAAATGCATCTGGAGATCTGGGAGGCTTCTTGCTGTCTGCTGACATTCAAATAATGGAGGTCTATGGCGCCCGAGGCAGAAAGGTCCACAAAAGTCCACAAAAAACGCGTCAATATTCCTCCATACTGCTCGTCCAATGTATTCCAAGTGTCCTGAGTGGGTAGCATCCAGAATTTACTCGAAACGAAGTCATTTAGAATGTTTTTAGAGCATAAACAGTAGTGTATAGGATTTCCTGAAAGCGCGCACATGCGCGATCACGACGCTACGGAAGCCGGCAGACCAAACCAGCGCATTCAGCTCGGCAAAGAACTCATGCTCTTCCTCAACACTGAAGTCCTCAGACATTTTTCTTTCGTTGTTTCTTTCTTTGCACAGGTAAACAGCACATTTCTTCTTCTACGCTTGCATTATCGGCAGAGCAGACGCTGAATGCGCACTTTCATCTGGTTTGGTCTGCCGGCTTCCGTAGCGTCGTGATCGTGCGGGCGCGCGCTTTCAGGAAAATCCTATACACTACTTTTTATGCTCTAAAAACATTCTAAATGACATCGTTTCGAGTAAATTCTGGATGCTACCCACTCAGGACACTTGGAATACATTGGACGAGCAGTATGGAGGAATATTGACACGTTTTTTGTGGACTTTTATGGACCTTTCTGTCTCGGTCACCATAGACCTCCATTATTTGAATGTCAGCAGACAGCAAGAAGCCTCCCAGATCTCCAGATGCATTTGAGATATCAAAAAAGTACTCCAGAGTGTTGTTCAGCATGGGGGTGAGTAGAAAATGAAGGCTAATCATGTTTTGGGTGTACTATTCCTTTAAATGTTATTGATTATGACAACTGCTTGCTCCAAAATCTAAAGTTGTTTTTGTGGTACAATTTGTAATTTTTTTTGTAAAAAAATATTTAACTTTCTTGAAAAGCAGACAGAAACAAATAAAATGAGCTTTAAAGAGTAAATACTGCAGGCAGGCAAAGCCTGGAAGAGTCTTGAAATTCCTTGTATGCATGGTCTGATTATGTTTTTGAGCTCGACTATGAACAGGAACTTTAAAATGCTCACAGGCCATGTCTGTTTATCTTGTCAACAGGTTTCTGAACAGTTTGGGAAGCATTTTCGGTTTCATCTCCAAAGATGCTGTCAGCAAGATCCAGATCCTGGTGAACTTCATGAAAGGTGAGAGCGGCTCCGAGTACGTCACCGTGCAGTCCATGGTCAAGTACGAGTTGAACAATCAACTGGTGGACGTGGACAAGAAGGGCATCTATCCTGAGTCCGGCTGCCGCACTCTGCTGAGGCTCCACCGTGCTCTGAGGTGGCTCGAGCTCTTCCTGGACCGCCTGCGAACAAGCGGCGAGAACGACAAGACTTCAGTCATGTGCAGGGAGGCCTACAACGAGTCCCTGGCCAATCATCACCCGTTTATGATCCGGAAGGCAGCGGGCATGGCTTTTCTCGCCATTCCCGGACGTGCAGCTTTCTTTGATGTGATGAACGTTGGCCCCCCTGAGCGGGTGGTGGCAGTGCTGGGGGAGGCTTTGCCTCTCATTTCTGAAGTGTACCAGATCACAGAGGAACTCTATACAAAACACAACCTACATGATCTACCATAGACGTGCATAGGCTCTCCTTTGGATAGATTATACCTGTCTGTAAATAGTCCCTGCTGGGAAGCTGTGGAAAATGCTGCTACTATATGATAATCCCAGCATTTGAACTATATCTATAATTTATGACACTGATTGTAATCCTGTATGTTACAGTTTTAGGTATAATGTTGCATGTTTATCTTTGACTCATTATCCTGTAACTTAAAGCAATACCTTTACAGTTCCATAGGTGTTATTAGTTCAAATAAAAAGCAGGAGGTATTTGATTAATCCTATTATTTATGAAAGGGAACCATACATATATATATTTTTTTTTTCTTTGTAATTTTAGAAGGTATAAGCAACAGCCTGTATAGAACCAAGTCATATTGTTATGCTTGCATGCAAAGAATGTTGTCAGTCGTTTAGTTGCTTAATATTTCTATTTATATATTCATGTTGTAAATGGAAGAAAAAAAGCAATACTTTTAAATTTATTTCCATAAAGCCTGCATTAAAATTTTAAAGTCTACTTTGTAAATTAGATACCAAATATAAATAACCTTGTTAAATAAAGTCACTGATTTAACATCTTGCATTTAAAATGTAAAGTTTTTTTTTTAAATATATATATCTAGCACATCTGGATCTTGTTTTTTTTTTTTTAAACAATATTATTTCTTACAATCCTTAAAAGTTTATTAGATAAACAGAATTATATTTAATTTAGCTGCTGCCTCTGCATTCACCTCGGTTTCTGCATCATTTTTTGCTGCCGTTTCCTGTGTGTTGCTCTTCCACTTTATATAAATGGAAAGAAATTAAATCACTTTGAATGGAGAATGTCTAAGGACATATAAATTCAAGGTGTTTCCACTAATTTATTATGTTTTTATAGAATCCAGGGCTGAACTTTAAAGACTTATGTTTGATTCAAACCAATCCCTTGCAGCCCTTTGTTTTTATTTACCATCAATGGCGATTCTAGATTAAATTTAGCGAGAGTGCAGAGATTTTTATTTATTTTTTCTTAATGGGGAAAAACAAAAGAACACAAAAAAAAAGAGCAAAAAGTGCTTTTTTTTTTTAGTTTAACTGAACTACAAACATGTAATTTCTTAATTGTTCGAGTAAATTGTAAACACAAAATATTAAATTCGTCTAAAGGACAAGTAGGTTACAGGCTTATGAGCATTAGAAACTGTATGACATTGCATAAACTGATCTAAAAAAGTAAGTCTCTTTTTTTTTTTTACCAATATATTTTTATTGAGATTTTTCATTTTGAAAATACAAACATGTCATCATCTGAACAAGTTCTCTTTGTAGTTATGGCATGACAGCAGTTATTTTACTCAACTCAGGGGAAAAAAGAGAAAAAAAACAAAAAAACACACACACGGCTTCTCAAAAACGCGGGTTTGTAAGAAAGTACTAATTGGTCAGGTATGGATATACATATCTATACAACTTGGCACACCACAGGTTCCAGTAAATTATAACTCAAACAGACCTTCAGTCAAGTTTAAGTCCTTAATAAAATGAATGAAAGGCCCCCAAATCCTCTCGAAAAGATACCGTTTGGATTTCTTAATATACGTTATTCTTTCTAGCGGCAAATTAGACAACATCTGTTAAGTCTCNAATATACGTTATTCTTTCTAGCGGCAAATTAGACAACATCTGTTAAGTCTCTTAAATTTAAGCGCACTTTCCCCATATTTGATCTCCTAAAAGGAGGAAAATGTTGCCCTTAAAACAAGGTAAATAGATACAATGCGCTTGAAATATGGTAATTGTTTGATCAAACATAGTTTTTCTATTTTAAAACAAATCGTCTTATTTCATCTGTAGGTTGTCTAATCTACCTGCTTAAATCAATGTAATATACACCTATTTCTTTTAAAGATTATTTTAAGGCTCTAGTGGCCGTTATTGTTATTTTCGAGAGTATGGAGAGTAGGGCCGCAACTAGATATTATTTTGCAAATTGACTATTTTTTTAAATTAATAATCTGATAGAAGTTCCTTTAAGATTTTTTATTAAATTAAGCCATGTGTAGCTAAAACTTTTCCACTTGAGGAGTTCTGGATACAACATATTAACAGATGAAAACTTAAATGCAAAATGTTTATATATTTTCTTTTATAATTTTGATATAATTACTGCTCGGAGTAGGTCGCACTGTCAGCTAAAGGCATGTTTTACAGTCTCTGTATCCCAGTTGTCAATTAATCCATTAGTTTAAGATTATTTCAACAATCGATTAATTGCTTCAGCCCTAATGGAGACCGGAAAGTGGGTTAGAAGAGAGGGGAGAGAGATTCAGCAAAGGTCAGCAAGGCTGGGACTCGAACCTGCGACAGCCGGTAAATGAGTCGTTCGTTCTACCGCCATACCATAGCACTAATATTATGTATAGATGTTAGAGAGATGCCTTTTGGTGCATTACAAATATAGGGCCCAAAAATGATGTATGAAAAGAATAATGAATAACAGCCAGTTTCTAAATTGATATATCATGCATCCCTGGAAATACAAATTCAATTCCATCCATCCAGAAAAATCTGGATATTCTGCATTTTAAATATAGAATAGCATATTTTTCATGTAAACTTTGTGGTAAACTTATTTTATTGCATATCCCAGTAAATCAGTGTCACCTTTAAATCTGCAGCTCTCCCTACTTCTCTTTATGAACCTCTTTACTAATATGATGCCAGAAACAAAATTTCAAGATATGTAGAAGCTCTGTAGTCTGATTCTGTCTTTACAATAAGAAAACATGTTAGGAAAAAACTCAAAAGGCTCTGAAGACAGATAGCTGCACCCAACCCATTATAGTTGGCTAAAGTAAATAAGCAGAGAGGGGAAAAAGCTGAAATTATTGCTGGGGACATGTCCTCATTAGTCCTTCAGAAAGTCACGCCTGTGATGGAGTATCTGACAAAATATAAAACATTGCAGATATAAACTCACCAGTTAATCCACAATGCTTGTTTTGGACTGAAGCAAATCAGACAAAACATGCAAACTCCATAAAAAAGATACAAAGTTTATAACTTTAAATAAAAATCGTCGTTTTTGATACATAAAATATTCGATCTTCAACTTACTTTCCTGCTATGTGTAAAACCATTCTACCAACGAACCACCCTTGGCAGAAAACAAATTGAAGTTTTACTAAAAGTCAGACAGTTAGACCCACAACTAGGAGAGTTTTTCGTTCTCGTTTTTGATTTATTTTGAAATCAAAGCTTCAGATTTCAGTAATAACTGAAAAACCTTATCTTAAGGGGGCATTAGATGATTGCAGTTCAGTTTAATCCATAAAATAAAAAGGTTTTGTTCACGGCACCTGATGTACAAGGCCACTTTAATTTGAAGTTTGACATTTTGAAAAAAAACACCAGTTTTAAGTTTAACAGCTACTTTAAGGCCGGGTAATGTGCGCCATGTATTAAGCCATTTTTGAGTGTTGCATGCTGTTGTTTTAGACCAGAGCCTTTAAATGGGCCAATCAAGAGTTGAATCATCATCCTAAATAAAGATGATCAGCTCAAATGTAAACATGTATGGAATAAATTCAATTTTATTTAAAAGAATATGCTTTATAAATGGAAAACAAAAAATACAATCCATAAATATGATTTAATGATCTGTGATAGGCTATCGGTAAGTGCTGTTGCACAGTTACTGTCTCTTTAAGCTAAGCAGAGATGCTTCTGGAAGAAGAGGACCGTTTTTTGCAGGGGGAACATAAAAAAAAAAAAAAGTATAATCAACTCCGGTCTAGAGTGTTTGCATTGGGCTAAAAGTGGGAATGTAATCTATTAATGATACTTTTTTTAAAAATGCAACTTCTAAATATCAGTGAAAGAAATAATCTTAAAGATAGAAAAAAAAAAGTTTGAAAATAACATCAAAATATAAATAAATAAATAAACAGCAACATCACTCAATGTTTTTGTGATTAATAGGTTTGTAAGTTTTTTTATTTTATTTTTTTTCTTCAAAGTTACATTTACCAAATGAGTTCTTTGCCTGCAGCAATAATGGATCAAAATTCACTCCATACATGCAAAATGCCTTTTTATTTTGGCTTGCTAAACAGACCAGAATTGTTTGATTGCTTACAGCACTGCAAAAAAACAAAAAAAACAAAAAACAATATCCTCTGAACTTCAGACATTTCCTGGTCAGTCTGAAAAACTTTACTTTAACAAAGTGTGCAAAGGAGAAGAAATGTACACCATACATGCATGAATTACAAATCAAGCGCAAGCATCTTATGCAAAACAATATACACACAACACAAAAACACCAAAACGATTAGATATTTAACAAAAGATAAACATGCAAACCTCAAAGAACACTCAGTTTAAAGCTTAAACTCAAATCACTAGAAAACAGTTGGAACATCAGATCGTCATCTCCTCCATTTCCTCAAGGTTGCTGGTATCAAGTTTTGTGATTTTCTTGTCTGGGAGAAAAAGAAAAAAAAAACAAGAATTAGGATCTGGTTATACATCTCATTAGACTATAATCAAAATGATCAAAAACGTACCGAAATGCTTTTCAATTTGTCTGATTATGTCCATGCTGTGGTCACTGTCCACCATGTTGACAGCGAATCCTCTCCGCCCAAAGCGTCCTGTTCGGCCGATCCTATGCAGGTACGTCTCGTTGTCAGCATTCCCTTGCATATCCACTGGGAGGTCAAAATTCACCACGAGAGACACCTGCTCCACATCAATACCTGCAAACAGGCAGAACCAGGTGTGGAGGTAACATCTGTTGGGCTACTGTATAAAACCTCCAACTCAATGCTACTCCTGACATTTTAAATTCAAAAAGCTTCTTCAATGGGAAGCGAAACGTCTTAAAATTTGGAAACAAAGTCCAGGGGATTTCTTTGAATTATATATTTTTTGAAATACCAATGTTCTGTTATTAGTGTTGAAATGTTCTATATCCTAGGGATGGGTCGGTTTATGAAAACCGTCCGAACCGTTCGGTTCGACTG